ATAGTGAAGGCATGATAGGATGCTACCGGAAACGCGAATAACTCAGGGCAGAAGGGGAGATACCACAATTCTTTAGCACACGTTTGGTCAAAGGATCGACTTCACTTGTCTCTTTGATGAGCTGTAGTGTGTTGCTAAGACTGGCGATACCCTCTGACGATGCCGACTACGATGCTGGTGAAACGTTTGGGAATGTACCACTTCCACGGTACAACTTTGGAAATGATCATGCATACAATGGACTCCAGACTAGGTGCGCTCCTATAAGTCTTCCTACCAATATGACCATGTTGCGAAAACAAGGTCAAACAACCTCTATAAGTAATTCTTACTTAACTTTTTACCACCATCCCTCACATTCACAGTATTCCCTCATCCATTAATTTCAATAGCTTCTCTTATCTTGTCTTTCATAGCACTCATAGCATAGGCAGCAAACCTCTGAGTAGGAGACCATTATAACTCATGCCTAGTCTCAGTCATGTGTTTCGCCACTCTTGACCGTTCAACCCAGCTGCCCTTACAAGCATTTTGTGTGCGTTGTTAATCTTTAGCGGATTGTCAGACAGGTATCGTCAACACAGGGCCGCTCGCATGAGCACATACTCTTATGACATCCGAATCTCCATAGTGGGTCATATTTCTCTTTAAGGAAGGCATAACCGAGGAATATATCAGAGGTTCATTGGAAGCCAGTTTTCAAAGAACCTTTGCTTCTTTGTCCATATCGCTCAAAGTGTCCCTTTCTTTTAATTGATTCATCAGACTAATTTTAGCCTTTGATTTATTTGATTTGTTTGTAGTACAAATTGTGTAGTTTTTTGTAAAATCTGTCAAATTTAGTTTGTGTTTACTTTATATCGTGGTAATATAACTTTCATTTATTTTGAATACACGGACGGATCTCGCCTTTGGGCAAAACTGTGATCTTATTGGCAATAAATATTTGTCTATTTTCACAGCAAATTCAAAACGTTGCCCTAATTAAACTATTAGTTTTGGGACGTTTCTCAGTCTGATTCTTTTATAAAATAATTTTTTGAGTATTTATTTATGTCTTTTTGAGTTCTGTGAATAATTAAATGCAGAGACAGTTAATGATATAATTTATAAAGCGAATGTTCTGAAGGTGAAATATTGACTTCAAATTTGAGGACAAATTTTCTCATCCCCACAGTATTCAAGCAAAAAGAGACCTTTTTGAGACAATTTTAATTTGGCCAAGATAGATATTGACAAAATTAATCAAGCGCTTTTAAAACAGAATGCATTTTTTAAATTTCAATTAAGTGATTATATTTATATATGTTAGAATATATAATCAAATAGCTTACTCATTTACTGTATTTTATTTACTTTTTTCCTAGGTGGGATCTCATTCCCAGAAATCTATCCGATAATTTGTTTGCGAAGGGCGTCATCGAACGTCTTTTTGCATCATTAGTTGTTGGCGGTGGTGGTTATGTTTCCTATGCTGAAAACTTCTGCTCCTATCGAAGTAGTATTCTACAACCAATGGCTGTTCCGAAACTGGGCTGTTATGTGGAGCCGTACCAGGAATCTTGGAAGGTTGGAATCGATTGTCTCATTTCCAAAAATATCTACCATAGCATATAGGCCAGTAAATAAGCAAGACTTGCTTCATTCTATAGTTTCAAAATAATAATATGTCACTTTTGATTTAGGAATAGAATATAAAATTATAGCCTCTTATTCCGCTAAAGGGAATGAAAACTTTTATTTGTTGATTTTAGGCTATGAACATTGCGTGGATAGGGGTGTGGAACACTAAAATCGCCTACTAAAGGCTTTATATAAATCTATTTTCGCACGTTTTCCTGCATTCTTATCAGACATTTCGCCAATATCACTCTGATTAATGTTTCTACCCTCTTAAGTAAATTATTTTACAAATCTAATGGGGATATGGAAATATTAGTCTCTCCAAGGCCACACTATCACATTAATTCGTGTCAATCAGAGTGAGATATTATAATTTTTGGTAAATATAGTGCCTCCGCACTAAGTCAATCCCTCAGAGGGCTTTGGTACAAAGTCCAAATGCGTATGGTCATGTATTATCATTTAGTAATGCATAAACTTTCCTCTTTTTGTTCTGCATACACATGCATACTGCTACTAGCCGTGCATGGTTTCAACCTGCATACCTAATCACAAGGCTCTTAACCGGCCCGCCTACCCCGCCAACATATGGCTGATCAGCTTCTTCTTGGCTATCCTCATTATGCTCGCTGTCTGTGTCCTAGTCGCTGGGCTTTGGCGTGGATCCTTCGCCATGCGCGCAGGTTATCAGCGATACACAGGCTCTGGAATCTCAAGCAATCTACATCCAACTATTCGGCAGTCGAGAGCTTTTTCAACCACTTGGCTACTCAACAAACTGGTGCCTAGCAAGTTGGGTGGATATCAGAGGGCCCCAGGACGACTAGAGCTTTCTGGGGATGGGTTCATTGGATTTTCCAACTACAGCGCCTACGGCGGTTGCGAGGGCACATCCAGTGCCGGCCATGGAGAGATTGATCTTACCAGGGGTTTGGTTGGTGTCCTGACCCCAGGCCGACTTGAGCCAACAGTCAAGTCTGGCCAAAGTGGCGTAGTTAGACTGGATCTGACTGGATCCGGTGTCAGCAAAGAACCGGGAGTCATGTATGTGACGGAGGCAAGCCAAATGACAGGGCATGTGAATCAGACGAGCGACAGGCGCCAAAGGCTAGAGCCCTCTTCTACGCTGGCAAATGCATTGGTTCCTGCCCCAGAGCTTTCGCTAAATGTGGCGGCCAAGGCTCAGGGGCAGTCAATTCATTCGCCATATCTCCCGAACTTGGCAGCCAATCCGGCACCGATACCTACCACCATTGAGATACCGTTCTCAGCTCTTCCATACAAAATGTTGGAGGACAATTTTCTTGAGGAACTGTAGCAGAGGCCTTTTGGTGGAATCCCTTCTTTTCCACGTACATCGTATGACCCAAGCATATACATCTTTTCTGCTTTTATCTATTTTTCTAAGTGATTAATTGCTGACATTTTTACAGTTTGTTTATTCGAAGACGCATGATCAGTTATATTAAACTACTACATTTTATAGTAGTATAACTCTCTTGTTATATTTTTTGCTTTGTTCTATTCGTTCTTTCACTTTCTTTTTATATATTTCTTATATACTTAATTAGTTGTCCTTATATTTATGTAGCTCTTGTTTTTTTCTTAATCGCTATGTTGTTATCTCGAGACTCCTACCTACTTTCGCAAACTTCCTTGTGGCTTCACACAGAAGTTTATTAATACTTATCTGAGGTACTTTGATATTTTACTTGCCATTTGCCCAACTATCCATTTGAATTGGCACAAGCCAATTTTACTCCTCTTCTCTATTGTATAAGCAGCAATATCAATAATGACATCAAAAAACCCTGTAACATGTCCCTGTGAATAGTAAAGTCCTCTGGTTTAGGTAGGAGCTTCATGAATCTGGTCGATCTCTATTTTTCTACTGCTTTATTATGAATAGGTAAGCATATCTGAGGACCTAGGAGATACTTTTTTCAAGCCAGTCATGCGCTATTTCATATCATTTGGGATCCTTTTGCCAGTGAATATTTTCCCCTGTAACATATTC